TGCTGTTTATTAAAAAAGCTGCTGGCCACCTACCTAGCACTTCAGAGTCCTTTAAAAAGTAGCAGTTATACTAGATTTTTTGAATATTTTGCACAAAAATACAAACTCTGTGAATGGTGCAATTTTGCAGAAAAATTGCCAGTTTTCACACACATGGTCCATTTTTGTCAAAACATGTTCCCTTTTGGATAGCATGGGGGGAAAATCAATAAAAGGGAAAGCAACAATAGATGATTTATAGGGAAATTCCCAGTGCTTTGCACAAACACCATTCTCACCCATGTGAAAACTCTGTTGAAAGTGGCAGAAATTCTTTTTCATCCTTGCTGATCAGGAGAAAAATGTTACCAGCCATTGCACTTGTGCAAGGATGAAACACATGAGGATCTGTATCTTTGCAGTAACAAGTAAGATGCTGATAAGATGGATAAACATCTTATTTTTTGGTACAATAACTAACACAGAATTATGAGTAAAAAACCTGTTAAACTGTAACTCTAGAGAATTTGGCTATCTTTGCATGCTTAATAGAAGGTCAAGTCTATCCAGAGTAAATTGACAATTAATTTACATGTACTTCACTCTGCGTAACAATTTGCTTAAGCATTCTGTGATGTAATGTGACCTAACTCCTCACAGGCAATCGCTATTTCTGAAACTATGCTGACTGTTCTCTGAAGCTTTATGTGCAACACTTTTGTGCTGTGTGTATTACTAGTTGGTTGTCCACATCTCAAAAGGCAGATGAAAAACAGAGAACTTTTGAGAGATGCCACATAAAAAGGGGACGGATGACAAAAAAAACCAGAACAAAACTTCTATCTCAGGATATCATCACTAGAAGCAAATTACATCTTGATCCCAACATATGAGCTAAGCCCTATAGGAAACAATTATATTAAAGCTGGAGTTCCGTCCACTTGGATTAATAGTTGTACAGCTTCGTCTTCTTCTTCTTCATGGTCAGAATCCTGTTGCTATTTATGTATGTTTAACATAACTTGAAGCAGCTAATTTTAGCAAATTGATGAGGTATCAGAGCACTCCTTGGTTGTGCCATTGGGCTTCTGAGCAGGCATGTGATACAGCCCCTAGCATATCATCAATTAGCTGCAGTTAGCTGCTACAAGTTACTCAGAACTTACCTGAACACCAATAGTACTCTCATCTCCTCCTCCTCCTCCTCCTCCTCATTTACTATTAGTAGCATTTCAAAGAGGGGCTGATAAACCACTTCTGAATACTTCATACATAGAAACCTCTGGGATGGTTGGTTGGTTGGTTGGTTGGTTGGTTGGTTGGTTGGTTTGTTGATTGATTGATTGATTGATTGATTTGATTTGATTTGATTTGATTTATACCCCACTTATCTGGGTGACTCGTCCACTCTAAGCGGCTAGAGTGGTTGTTACCAGTTACTGTAGAACTACGATGGCGTATAATTAATTGACTGTTAATTATTTTGCTGTTAATAAATACCAATTTATTAACAGCGGCTAGACTGATAATAGCTAGGCAATGGAAATCAAAATCTGAATTTCAAATCGAAGAATGGTATAATGAAATATGGAATATAGTTATAAATGATAAACTAACTTGTAATTTTGAAGGTTAAGAAAGGAGAGTTGAAAAAGAATAATTTTTTATGAAATATGGGGCAGATTTTTGGAATATGTGTTAACAAGAGGAAAAGGGAAAGCGCCAAATCAAGAATCAATGCTGTTCTGGAGAAGAGGACAATAAAAGAAAAATATAGATGGAGGAAGTAGAAGATTGCAGCAAGAGGTGGTGGGGAGCATGGTTAAATTGTATTTTGGTTTGTGTATTTTATGTTTATGTTATAATTCTGAAATAAAAATTAATATTAAAAATAATTATTTTACTAGTACTTACTAGTGGTCCAGGCAAGCCATCAACTCCTGGAAGACCAATTTCACCCTTCTTGCCCTGAATGTGAAATAAGAAAAAATAGAAGTTACTAATCATGTCAAGAGAAAGCACAGATTTAGTTTCTCATTTGACTACTCCATGCCAGACAGCAAAAGCAGAAAAACCCTACAATAGGCAGATTCCTTTGCTTCATGGGGCCTTTAAAATTCAAAACCTTACTTCTTTAAGTGCCAGATAGAGATGGTTTGTTTGCTGCCACAACATGAGTTCAACATCTCACCCTCTCCACTTGAAGAAGATCAGCTGTGCAGCCGGTAAATAAACCAAGCAGAACCATGGAATTTAATTATTCTAGTAGAGGGCGGTTCACCATGGTTTGTTTGCTGCCACAACATGAGTCCAACATCTCACCCTCTCCACTCGAAGAAGATCAGCTGTGCAGCCGGTAAACAAACCAAGCAGAACCACCCAACCGGTGGTTCGGGCCCATCTCTAGTGCCCTGACACAAGGAATACATTGTTATCTATTTCTCTTTTAACTTCAGTACTGGCAATTATAAAAACAAGGATGGGTGATAATTTGATTCTTCTCACAAGAGAGTTGTTTTCATGACTGTGAGGAAGGCCACAACCTTGGCAGTATGAGGGAATCTAGATCGTGAAGGTGTAGCTGTGTTACTCCCTCAGCACAGTTCATTAGAATTTACATAAAGACACACAAGCAAACAGAGAGCATCTAGGAAGTGGGCTGCAGTCCTCAAAGGCTTACGCCAAATCAAACTTGTTAGTCCTGGAGGTGTCACAGAACTCTCTCTTATTTCCAAAAAGAGACTGATCTGTTCAAAGGAAATGTGATGGCACTTATTTCTGGTTCTACACAGTCTGATTTTGGATCACTATGGATGCAGCAAAATATACTCTTTGAATATTGGACATTTCGTGTTGTTCTGAGTGGAATCTAAGGAGGATCAAAACCATGGAATTTAATTATTCTAGTAGAGGAGGAGGAGAAGGAAATCTTACATAAGAAGGTCTCTTCCCCTCACCCCCAAATGCCACTGAAAACACAATTCAAGGAAGGAAAGGTATATCTCTATAGACAGAAAGCTCTTCAAAATTACAGCCTGCCCAATACAGTATCAGGATAGTGACAGCTGCCAATTAAGCAGTGCTACGCCTAGTGAATGTATGTGCTTTTTTGAATATTTACAGTTCACACCTTGTCTCAATCAGTAACTTAAATAATAGCACCGTTAGACATATGCTTTGTATTTGGAATGAAAATGGTTCACTTTGCTAGAAATTATAGCTTTTAAACACAGGTTTTCTCTAGACTATCAAACAAATGTTTGCTGTTGATAGAAGGGGAGTGATGGAAGGAATGGCTTAGTTTTCCTAGACAAGTAATGCCTGTAAGAATGTCAAAAAGGCTTCCTGGATCAGATCAAATGTATTTTCAGGCTTGGATCCTGTTTGCCCAGACAAATGTTTCTGGGAAGCCTACACGAATCAGGGCTGGTTAGAGGAATGTGCTGATCTCCATTGCTCCAGGCTTCTCACGTTCACAAATTCATGCCACCAGCCCTGGAACAATCTCCCACCTGAAATTCACCTAGCAGTTTCACTGGGAAATTTTTCTTTGATCCTTGAATTCATGGGCCTGTAAACAGGCTTTCTCGGAGATCACATCATCATAGCACAGAGGTTTTTCAGCATTTATATAATCTTGCCTTTTAAAATTCATTTTAGTTATTTCGATATTGTTTTTGTGTGTATCCACACTTAATGCTTAATTTTAGTTTTGTATTGTTTTATCATACTGTGAACCACCCAGAATGGCTTTGGTAGCAAGGTGGGTGGTATAAACATTGAATGAATGAATGAATGAATGAATGAATGAATGAATGAATGAATGAATGAATGAATGAATGAATGAATGAATGTAGCATTACCAAACAATTTGTGAGATGATGAAACACAAATGAGTACATTAGGATCTCAAATGGCAGCCATCAACAGAATTTAAAACCAGGTATGACTGGGTGAAAGGACAAGAAAACATTGTAGAAAGCTTGAAGCCACATTTTCCCTGTGGTTTTGTGTTCTGCAACCCAAATCTAAAGGTATGCCAAGAAAATCCTGCTGTTCATTTCCCTCATATTCACATATTGTGCACAGAATTTCATTTTTCAAGATACGTTGCGATTACTTATAAAGAGCTAGGGGCCAGAAGTCTTCCGATGTTTGCAAAATGTTTGTATAACGTGATTAATTAGGCCAAAATGACAAGGTGCTAGGGTGTGTCTCAGACATGTCCATGTTCATGTACTTGATGGTATAATTAAGATGTGCACCTCACTAATTAGCTGCAGTTAGTCAAGGACAGGTCCCCAAATCCTACACAAACACGATTAAGATTCTGACTGGTGTAATGCAGCATTAAGCTTAGATGTGGGAAACTCAGATTCAATTCCTGTTCGTTTCACAAAGATCAGTGGATAAAGTGTAACCATCTTCACCATGCGACATTGTGAGAAGGAAAATCTCCTTGGAGAAAAGGCAGGCTAAACTCATCCAAATGAATGGGGCATATGGACTATAAATAAACTGAAGCAGGGCAAGAGGAGGAGTGTCGCCCACCCTTAGACCTTGTAATCCAGCAGCTCCTGGCTTGCCTTCCGATCCTGGGGGTCCCTGTAAACAAGACCAAATTGAAAGGTGAATCACAATTCAAGATGTTAATACCAGTGGATCCAAACCTCTACAGTTGCTTTAAGGTGAGCTGATGGCTAGATTCATGTCTGGGGACCCAAATTTGGACTTATTTTATTCCAATAAGTGAGAAGGAAAACTTTCAAAAGTATTTTCTCTGCTGAGCAATATTACAAGAATTTCAGGGCATTATTCACTTCTATGGTTCTTTAAAAATTGTAATAATGGTTTAAGCTATAGCCTCTAATTAAAAAATAAATAGATTACTGAACATTTTCCGCCAGCTGAATAGGTATGTATGGACCCATTTCATCAAAGCAATAGTCTGGCCTTTACACTGACAGGAATGTTTCATTAACGAACCAAAGGGCATTCAAAGGCCAATGAGTGAGGACTTACAGGGCTACCTGGGGGTCCGGGAGGGCCAATGGATCCTCGTGGGCCAGGGGGGCCCTGCGGGGAGAGAAAAAAAAATAAAATTATGAAAGTTCAACTCTTAAAAAGTTAAAATGCATCCTTGTCATTGTACTTAAAACAAATCATCCAGAAACGGATGGTGTTGAACATAATGAGATAGACCTCAGAATCTCATCTCCTTTATGAAAACTTCAGACAGCCCAAAATATAGACTGTGTATAAAATGTAACTCAATTGCATTCTCTTCCATAGCTGTATTTCCTATTACAAGCTTCTAGATTTAAATTTACAAGTGAAGTCTAATGAATATTTCAGTAGGTCTCCTCCACAGGTATCTATGAATATTATTCGGAGAGTCACATAAGTCCAAGCCAAAGGGTTACTATTCTAGGACTTGCTAGCTGGGCTTAAGTCATGATATACTTTCTATGAATGAACTATAAAGAATTGTGTACACTATAGAGCAGTAGTTTCCAAGCTTGGGTAACCTGGGTGTTCTTGGACTGCAACGCCGAGAAGCTCCAGCCAACACACCTAGCACTGGGAGTTGCAGTCCAGGAACTCCTGGTTTACCCAAGATTGGGAATCATGGCTGTAGAACAGTTGCTTGCGGACGGGGCACGTCACAACAAGAGAGGGGGAGAGAGGGAAGGAAGGAGTGGGAGGGGAGGGGATGGGGGGCTGCGTGACTGCATTGTGCCATCCCCGTCAATAGGTGGACCCCCTCCTGGCCCCATAAAGCCGCGGGAGTCGAAGCTGGCAGCCTCTGCTGTCTGAGATCGCAGCTGCCGGTAAGTGTGCTTGGAGCGGGGCTGTGGAGGTCAGCTAGGCCTGCCCCCCATGCGGCCCAAACCAAATTTATGTGCGGCCCAAACCAAATTTTCATCTTCTAATGTGGCCCAGGGAAGGTGAAAGGTTGGACACCCCTGGTGTACACTATAGAGCAGTAGTTTCCAAGCTTGGGTAACCGGGATGTTCTTGGACTGCAACGCTGAGAAACTCCAGCCAACACACCTAGCACTGGGAGTTGCAGTCCAGGAACTCCTGGTTTACCCAAGATTGGGAATCATGGCCGTAGAACAGTGGTCCCCATCTTTGGGCCTTCAGATGTTCTTGGACTTCAACTCCCAGAAATCCCAGCCAGCAGAGCTGGTGGTGAAGGCTTCTGGGAGTTGTAGTCCAAGAACATCTGGAGGCCCAAGGTTGGGGACCACTGCTATAGAATGACCACAACAATGCTAACTGGACAATGCAGTCATACAGAAATCAATCAACTCTCTCCAATTCACTTACTCACATCAGGGCAGGGCTGAGAAAGCTGTGGCCTTCCAGATGTTGCTGAACTACAACTCCCACCATCATGTCCAAGCTTGGGTAACCGGGATGTTCTTGGACTGCAACGCTGAGAAACTCCAGCCAACACACCTAGCACTGGGAGTTGCAGTCCAGGAACTCCTGGTTTACCCAAGATTGGGAATCATGGCCGTAGAACAGTGGTCCCCATCTTTGGGCCTTCAGATGTTCTTGGACTTCAACTCCCAGAAATCCCAGCCAGCAGAGCTGGTGGTGAAGGCTTCTGGGAGTTGTAGTCCAAGAACATCTGGAGGCCCAAGGTTGGGGACCACTGCTATAGAATGACCACAACAATGCTAACTGGACAATGCGGTCATAGAAAAATCAATCAACTCTCTCCAATTCACCTACTCACATCAGGGCAGGGCTGACAAAGCTGTGGCCTTCCAGGTGTTGCTGAACTACAACTCCCACCATCATTGATCACTGGTTATACTGAGTGGATATGATGGGAACTGCAGTCCAAGAACACCTGAAAGGCTACACATGTCCCCAACTGTGAATTAGGACATGACCGGTTCTGAACAGTTTCATGCAATGACATGGTTTAGTTCAAGCTAGAGTTTGAAATCCTACTTTTAAGAAAAGGGAGCATATAACATGCTTGGAGCCATCCACAGTTGAGCCATGGTAGGTTCCAGAACATCATTCCACCATTACTGGGTTGTAGATGAATTCAATGTATGGTTATATTCATTTTCCTTAAACGTAAGCGTCCCAAGTTTTGACGAGGATACACAGATAGTGGGATTTATTCACTAATGTCCGGCAGATTCACAGTAGATCTGAAACACATTCTGACTCCTAATTATTTAGCTGTAGCAGTGAAAACATGGCATGCCTCAGTGGAAGATGAAGGCAATCTAGGTTTACATCTGAACTTTACGCCAGTTATCTAAGGCGCTGAATCTGTTTTAAAGCCATTCCTGTAACAGTGGGGCTATTCGCTTCTGCTGGTCTCTGCACTTAATAGCAATGTCAGAAATGAGGAAGGTGAGTAGGAGTGTAGTTTTGTGTGGAACAACTATAGGTTCTGTTCAGTTTTAGTAGCCAAAACCAAATTCTGGCCCCAGAACTATTCAATTCTAAGTGTCTGCCATTTGCATTTAGTTCCATGGCATAGACCTCTGAATTCCAGTCAACAAAGAAAGAAATGAGATCCTTTAAGATTGATGCCCACCCACCACTTGTGCCATTTATTGACATAGGTACCTCACATACATCCTGAATTGTGTTTACAGTGGTGCCTCGCTAGTCGATGATAATCCGTTCCACTGAAATGGCTGTTTAGCGAAATCATTGTCTAGCGAAAAGCATTTCCTCATTGGAATGCATTGAAACCTGTTTAATGCATTCCAAAGGGGAAGAATCATCATTGTCTAGCGAAGATCGGCCATAGGAAAGCCACTTTGCCAACCGCCAATCAGCTGTTTCAATCACTGTCTTGTGAAGCTTATGTCCCGAAAACACCTATTTTGCGAGCACGGAGGGAGCTGTCAAAATCGTCGTCAAGCGAAAATTGGTTTGCGAAGCAAGGACCAACCATTGTCCAGCGAAATTCCCCCATAGGAATCACTGCTTTGCGAATAGCTATAGCGATTGCAAAAAGCCAATGTCTAGTGAAAAAAACTGTCATGTGGGGTAACTGTCTAGTGAGGCACCACTGTATTGGGCCTTCCTCCCTTTACAAGCTTCCACATGAATGCCATCTTACTCACTATTGAATGGCCATGTGTCATGTAGCATCTTATATTTTGTGTGTACAAAAGGACTGGGAGTAAATATGAGATTTGGAACAACAAAGCCAAATACAAATAGATGCAACAACAGCACCAGGGAGTGACTTCTCCCCACTGCTCGGCTCGGCTCTTGGATAATGAAAACTGACAATGCAATTTCATTGTGGAGTTCTCATGAACTGCCAAGATGCGAGTGGGTTGGATGACTGTAGCCTTTGAATAAAAGCAGTTACAGGAAAGATAAACAGCTCACCAGCACCTCCTTGGATTTAAAATAAAGTTTATTCACAGTGGAAAGGTTTACGCAACCTTGGTTTATCATTTCTTTCTTTCTTTCTCTTCCTTCCTTCCTTCCTTCCTTCCTTCTGAACCAGCTGCTTGCTTGCTTGCTTGCTTGCTTGCTTGCTTGCTTGCTTGCTTGCTTGCTTGCTTGCTTGCTTTTCTGCCTGCCTGCCTGCCTGTTTGTCTGTGTTTCTCTCTTTCCCCTTTTTTTTGGTTGATTTTATGACTCACTTTGAGAGTGAAGAGTTAGAAATGACATTCTTAGTAATAAAATAATTGTTTTGTATTATCATTTTGTCTTTAAGAAAACTTAGTACAAAAGTGAAAAACATACCTGCTCTCCTTTTAAACCTTCAGTCTGCACCTAAAAGAAAGGCAATAACTATATAAGCCTGGCAAAGCAGAGGAAAGAAATCTGATCCTTTAGTTTAATTTTTTCCCCATTATGATACTAACTGTTCTTTCACAAATTTGCTAACTACATTCACAATAGTCATATTTCAAACACAGACCTGTTCTAAGACATTTTGCTGTCTGAGAAGAAAATCAGATGATATTGTTGCATTCCATGAAAGGCATCCAAGTGGGCTGAAAAATGAGTATTAATTCAGAAGTGTGACAGGATAGCATGTTCTACCATTCCTGAAAGTATCTTTTTTTTAATGGATAGGCCAACCATACCTTGCCTGAAGTGCAACAAACCAGTGGAACAAACCAGTGAATCAAGAACTACATTAAAAGTCACTGGTATGTGCTGGGCTGCAAGGTTGAAAGATCAGCAGTTTGAATCCACGCAACAGAGTGAACTCCCATCGCTTGTCCTAGCTCCTGTCAACCTAGCCGTTCGAAAGCATGTAAAAATGCGAGTCAATAAATAGGTACCACCATGGTGGGAAGGTCACAGTGTTCCTTGACTAGTCACGCTGGCCACGTGACCACAGAAACTGTATTTGGACAAATGCTGGCTCTACGGCTTGGAAACGTTGATGAGCACCACACCCTAGAGTCGAACATGATTGGACTAAATTTCAAGGGAAACCTTTACCTTTACCCATAGCTCAATATCAGTCCAATGGCCAATGTGAGCTGCAAATCTGAGGGGCATGTGCTTGCCTAACACACTACAGAGACCTCCAGTCTGGTATCAAACATCTCGAACTGAAATGGAGTTGGGCTGACCTTCCTCCAAATTTCCAGGGGTGGACTTCAGCATTCATAGCCATAATCCTGTGTCCTTGATTATGTGAAAAGGGTCAGCAGAAAGCTATTCCATGAAAAAGTTGATAGCTCTCCCAGAAAAATGCTGGGGGGGGGGGCGATTCTAATTTAGCCTGGTTGACTCCACCATGCCTTTGACATGTAGTCTCTTATAAGTAATAACTGTATGCACTTAAGAGGCTTCTGCTAAAAATAGATTAAATTATCTCCCTGATACATCGCAAAGCCCTTGATTTGACTGTAAATCCCAGCAATGAAATGTCTTTAAGCTGAGAGATGGCAGGGAGTCAAGCTTTCCTGAGGAATCTGGGCAAGAAAAGAAACATGTTATGCCACAGGAGATTCAAGCAGATTATTTTACTGAGCCCTTCATCCTACTGCTTTTTTTCTTATCCAGCCAGGGAGACAGTTGAGTTTTTTCTCTTTTCTCTTTTTTTCTTTTTTTTACACTTCTCCCTGCGGTGCTGGAAGTCCTTCACCCTCCATTAAGAAAGATCTGCTGCAGAAGCAAGGCTGCAGTACAACTGCACCACGCTGTGATAAGGACTGTAAACAGAGATGTAACTCCTTTGCCATCTTGTCCTCCCAGGGAGAGATGATGGGTCAAGACATTCTTTCCCTCATTAGGGAGGATAGCGAGATATTCCCCTGATGCTCTTCGTGACTTCTTTCATCAACTTTTAGGAATGAGATCCACGGATTGGCTTGTTTGCATATTTTAAGAACTAAGAAATAGATGCCCTGGATGGGTCTGGAGTAATATGAGTCCCATTTGATTCGGTTTGTACACTGGATGAAACTAGATGTATGAAGACTCCCATGGGCTTGCAATGGAAGACCCAAAGGATTCCTCATTTCGGCACTGATATGCATTAAATGTGTTGCAGTGGTGGGTTCTAAAGAGAGCAGTAAACCTGTCAAATTTACGAAAGCTATGTTTAGAAGAATTGTGTCCTAGGCACTTTTAAAATTTGTGTGTGTGTGTGTGTTTTTTAACAACGCAGAACAACAACATCAGAAGCAATTTCTGCTCTACTGAATTCAATCCGTGCTCTGGATCTGAATTGATTTGTAAACTTGCTTCACCCTGGAACTCAATCTGGACATTCCACTTGAATTCAGACCTCATTTGATCCCAATAAGGACAACTCAAGGTATGATCAGATGAAGAAATGGATTGCATTTTAGACTGATTCTGGTATGGTCCATTGTGAGCTATTTCTTGGCCATCACATGAGGTATGAGCAGTAACGATCCAACATGACACTAATAATGCCCAAGATGGACCAAGATCTGGTCTAGCAGCAGGCCTACTCCTTTTGGGGTGGCCAATCTAGAGTAATTATCACATGAACCATAGGTTCCTTTAAGACAGATCACTGCCAGCAGAGTAAACCATTCTGGTGCGATCAAGCACAATCTCTTTTCTTTGTATGATCATACCCTAAGTTTCCTCAGCTTCTGACTAATACAGTTCAAATGAAAACTCAGTCCAGCTTCAGCATGTCAACTGTGGAATCCAAACGCAATGTATGTGCATTGTTGTTTTTAGCCCCTTTGCTAGAAGTATTCGCAGGTATTTCACAAGTATCAAGCTGCTATTAAGCTCTACGTGTCCATAGTTTAGCATTTTATCACAGATATTTTAGCATCAGATTTTTCACAGATTCAGTATTAATAGTTCTTACCACTGAGCCGGGTTTTCCTGGAGGTCCCATTTCACCCTATGTTTGGAATCAAACAAACAGGCAAACAAACAATGAAATCACTGTGCCTTTCTGTATTCAGTTTAGTGACATTTGTTTGTCCATGTAGAAAACTTCTGACATTCAGTTAGAGATGTAATTTTTTTCACAGGAAGGTCAACCACAAAACTAGACTCATCCAATTATTTTGGTTCTTGCTTTTAATATCCATGTCATTTGATTTAATGACATCTCTCAGCACTTTATGCTAGACCATATAAGAAAAAAAGTTTTTAAAGAGTTCTAAAAGATAATAAATCCTTTTGAGCACATGGCAAAACACACACACACACACACACACACACACAGAAAGCTGAAGAAGGCTTGCAGAAACAGATATATTTCCAGTAGTCATTTAAAACTAAACAGTGTTTCAAACTCTTGTACCAGGGAGGAGCAAATGTTTCAGAAGGTGGTCAGCACCACTAAGGTTTGTCTTCACAATCCTATGCAATAATATTCCATTGGTTTTGAACAATCATAACAGACAAAAGAGCATGTAAAGGCAAAGCATCCTGTCACTTATTGGTGGGTGGATATGCCAGGCAGAGCCTCCATAGGAGAAGCCCCCTCTTACATGGGGAACGTGGAAGAGGCCTCCCTGTAGAATGTGGACATATTCAGGTTTTCCCTGGGCAAGGGGTCCTCCCACCCATGGGGTCCCGATGTATGGTGACTCACTGTACGAATATCGAGCCACCAAGTGGAAAATATGCTTCAATGGTGCCCTCTCTGTTCAACTTCTGATCACCAACGGAAACTGTTACTTTTCCAAAAGGCCCTTCGTCTCTAAGATTTCGCTTTATTTACTTGTTGGAATTGCTTTTTTAAAACATTATTAAATAATTTTAACATCTTTTTTTTCAATCTTTTCAATTTGTTCTGGATGTTTTAAATATGTATTCTCAAAGGCTTTCACGGCTGGGATCTGATGGTTGTTGTAGGTTTTTCGGGCTGTTTGGCTGTGTTTTTAAATAAGTTTTGATCGTTTTAATCTTATTGTAAATCACCTTGGGAGCCTTGGTGGGCAGAAAGGCTAAGAAAAAATGCAAACAAACAAACAAATAAATAAATAAATAAATAAATAAATAAATAAATAAATAAATAAATAAATAAATAAATAGTTTTAGTGTATTCGTGAAGGCTTTCACTGCCGGGATCTACTGGTTGTTGTGGTTTTTTCGGGCTCTTTGGCCATTTTAGCCTTTATCCTTTGACACTGCTATGCTATTACCTAGGAGTCTAAGAGTATCACAGGACTGTCAAGATTTGTTTCTTTAAGTGAACAAGGGGTTAAATTTAATATTGTAGTGAGAATGCAAAGTCATGCCTGTAACATCAAGTCAATGGATACAGATGGGACAAGCTTAGATAATGCTTGTCGACCATGTTCAGGTGCTATGTCTACAGTGATAGGCTGTTCTCACTATTTAAGCAAGTGAGTGAGAACAGCACTTCACCACTCCATTGTGAGTCTGGTGGTCATTACTTTACTTGAGTGCTATGTTGGTCTGAGATATCTATGCCAATGTATACATTGCCATGTATTTATGTCTGACCAAGTCTAATATATAATGCTATAAGTCTTATCAGAACTCTCTCTGTGCATTTTCTCATATGTCCGCATCTTTGCTTATTAAGGGGAAGATTTGAAGCTACCAGATAAGAGACTCTGTGTAACTTGTTATCTTGGACTCTAAGGTTTGTTTTCCCCTAACAGAATGCTCTTGGAAGCTTCATTATCCAAATCTGACTCCAAGCTTTTGGACAGGAAAACGCCACATCAGTCTTTGGAGTTGGACCCACGGCAACAAGGATTCGGTAATTAAAAAGGCTTCATATGACTTGTCAATGTATAATAAAAAGATGTGGAGAATTTTCTGGGACAGTTGGTTAAACATAACTAAAATCAGGACAAATCTCTAACTTTGGATGCTTGTCCTTTGCTACCTAACTACCCGGGAAAGTGCTGTGTCTTGTGTATAAAATGATATCTGAAACAAGAGTGATACAGCCAAACCATTTCCCCCATATTCTTACCTTCTCTCCTTTGGATCCTATGAGTCCAGGCTGGCCTGGACTTCCTCTGATACCCTGAAAACAGGTAAAGCAGTGATGATATTAAGACTGAGGCAGTAAGAAGCAAAAGGGGTTACAAGCCCTAGTTTCAAATTAAATGAAGTTCAACCTCAAGTTTCAGTTCTCTTTAAAAATGGCTCACAAGAATGGACTAGGGAATGTAAATTTTCACTTATTTTGTTCTCATCGTTGGGAATGAAAGATTAGAAATTTTTTCTTCATGCTGGGTGAGGTTGTGAGAGATTGCATGTTTTTCACATTTCATTCTATTTTGGTTTTGTGGGGGAAAAATCACAAAACTTGTATTTTGTGCAAACCACCTTTCCCTTTGTCAGCGAATAAATTTTCACTTGTATGCAGGAGTGAACAATCTTCCAGCATTTGCACTTTAAAAAAAATTCAATAAAGGGCTGTGATATGCCAACACTCAATTTCTCATTGAGGCTAAGAAAATCTGCAACTATCAGTTACACCTTTAGAACAGACACAAGACAGACAAGAAGACTGGAAATAACTTTGGCCAGTAACTTATTCAGCTCATAGGGTATGTAACTGTATCCATGGAAGTCTACCTTAGTATGTGGTCTACTTCATGTCAAGTGTGGACAGTGGATTAAAAAAAAGGAGAAAAAGAACATGAAGGCATCTAAAATGTGGTGTTGGGAATCAATGTATCAAATGAGTTGGAAAGAATGAAAGAAAGAAAAAGAACTATCAAACAGGGTTAAGGATGGATATGATGTCTTAGTTACATAATGTGGGAAGAAGCTATAAGATACGATAGAACATACTCGGAGAAGTAGGGGCTAACCCAAGATATAACTGAAGAGATATAACTAAAGCAAACTAAACTGGAAAAGGGATAACATGTGAAAAACTTATCAAATGAGTTGGAAAGAATGAAAGATTAAACAAGAACTATCAAACAGGGTTAAGGATGGATATGATGTCTTAGTTACATAATGTGGGAAGAAGCTATAAGATACGATAGAACATACTCGGAGAAGTAGGGGCTAACCTAACTGAAGTGATATAACTAAATCAAACTAAACTGGAAAAGGGATAACATGTGAAAAACTGAAAATATGTGCATAAGGTAGAAACAGAGTGGGGGTAGCTTGTGCAAACTCCATTTAGAAATTACAGATGGTGTCCTGCAAACATTTAGGGCTAAATACTACTCTCAATCCCCCATATAGGCTAGATCCACTTACAGTGGGGCAAGATATAACTGAAGAGATATAACTAAAGCAAACTAAACTGGAAAAGGGATAACATGTGAAAAACTGAAAATATGTGCATAAGGTAGAAACAGAGTGGGGGTAGCTTGTGCAAACTCCATTTAGAAATTACAGATGGTGCCCTGCAAACATTTAGTGCTAAATACTACTCTCAATCCCCCATATAGGCTAGATCTACTTATTAAATGGATCTTATTATGCCATTACTAATGCGAACTGCATTGATTTAAATGATCTGTTCCAGTTGAGACAAAAAAATCAGTGCAGCCATACCTTAGTTATAAACATAATGTCAGTGGACATACATACAGTAGTGAAGGATGAAGCATACAAACAACATTGCTTCCTACAGAACATGATGTCTAGTCCCTCTTTCTACATTCACTGCAAATTCCATAGAACAGTCTCTTAGCACTTACTATTGTGCACGTACCTGTTGGCCGTCCACACCAGGTTTTCCTGGAAAACCATCAAGACCTGGTTCTCCCTGAGTGGAACATGGAAGTAGGAAATATAGTGTTAGGTGTATCATTTTGGTAGGTAAGTTGGGGAGCAGTAAGCAAAACAGCTAAAGACACTATTTTTGACACTAAAGACATGGTCCTTCTTGAAATGTGATGTATGTTTGGGAGTGAGCATGTCTGTCTAACCCATACCTTCATACAAACATATTCTGGGGATGAACCTGGCTATGCCATGCTTTGGCATACCTCATCACATATTATCTGAAACATGACCACAAGTTCATATTACATTCAAGGGTTTAGAAGTACTTCATCTTTGCTTCTCCCTCTTTGTTTCTCCCTGGCATAATCTATTCCGCCCAGTCACCAGCCCATTTTTGACGGCATCTGCTGTTGATCTATCCAACACCCAAATATTTTTTGTTTTAATCAAAATTATAGGCCAGTAGATCCCAAGTCTGGGTATGTGTTTGATGTTTTTCCTTCCTTCCTTCCTTCCTTCCTTCCTTCCTTCCTTCCTTCCTTCCTTCCATCTATCCATCCATCCATCCATCCTTCCTTCCTTCCATCCATCCATCCATCCATCCATCCATCCATCCATCCATCCATACATACATACATACATACATACATACATACATACATACATACATACATACATACATACATACATACATACATACATACATACATCATTCCTTCCTTCCTTCCTTCCTTCCTTCCTTCCTTCCTTCCATCCATCCATCCATCCATGCATCCATCCATCCATCATTAGTTCCTTCCTTCCTTTTCACATTTCAAAATCAAGGTACAAAACCCAAGCATTTTTGAAGTTTTAGGAAACGAATTTCTGTTAGTCATTCCAGAAAGCTGTACAGAAAAAGTGTCCTCGGTTATACTTGTATGATTACATTACAAAACAGGCTGACAGGGCAGCCTGTAAATCTCCGTTCACAGGTAATTGCCTATGAATAATTCTGTTCAAATTATGTCTACAGTATAATTTGGCTCAATTTTTTATTACTGAATCATGTCCTGAAATTTGGGCACTGCTTTTGTAGCACATAGGACATGTTCCTCGGGAAATTAGTATCTCGTCACATTATTGCAGAGAACATTATATTTAAGGAACACCAAGCGTATGCAATTTTAAATATGGTGCAGCTAGGACCACAGAATATAGGGCTGACAGCAATGGAATCCACTTAAGAGATGATTCTGCACTGTTTCAGGGTGAAAAGGGGCTGCTGATGAACACACTCCTTTCTGAAGGATTAGAATACCACTTATGTCAGTGCTGCCATTTTGAAACCGTATTCCACCTGAATCAAAGTGTAGGTATTTTAATCTCAGGGTAACCTCAGAAGAAGCAGGAACGCATATATATATATATGAGGAGGACTATTACATAACAAAGTCAAACCATATCCTGTATTGCAGGAAATAATGTTCTGGGGGAGTTTTTAGCAGAACATTTGTGGAGTCTTTAGGAACAGAACAGTATCTTTGGACATGGGTTGGAGGCCAGCTTTGGTATTCTGCCATGAACCCTAGATTTGTCTGAGGCCCTCACTGTATCCAGTTTAGGTAGAATGTGACTCTTATTTTGTAAGACGTTTTGCAGAAAGAAAGGAAGGAAGAGGGGGAAGTCTCCGTAGCAGGACAGTCCGGATGACTGAAGCAAACCCAAGACGCAAATTCTACCTCCTTACTATGGCAAGATCAAATTTTTGAAAAGTACCAGCTGGCTCTTTCTCCCTGGTCAGTCGTTAGCCTTTGGGCAATTAGCTGCCTGTGCTTTCTGTGAATGTATGTTAACTGTGCTTGTCTGTCTCTTTTCCTGCATCCTGTGAAGAACTCTGTTTATCTGTGAAACTTACGTGATTTTTGCCTCTCCTCCTGGCTCAAAGAGAGATAAAGTCCATGACCATCTAAGTCCTCAAGCCTTGATTGCCTGCATGTGGATGCTGCCCTAAGCAAGCCAATGTTCCACTTTTTGCACACCAATGTGACTGCTACCTCATTACCCAATCCCCCCCCTAAAAAAACATGCACTCAGTGTTTCAGAAAAAGAAAAAGAAATCAGCAGCAAAGAAAAAATAATCACTTAGGTGCCCTGTTTGCCATTTGGGAAGCAAAACCTTCTGCAGAAAGCTATGGTTCTGAGCAACGCCATCCACTCTTTCCCACTTCTCTACTGCTGTCACATGGGAGCAATGATGTTCAGCATTTCTACTGACCCAGTTGACAAAATACTGGGTACCCATTGTCTGTACCTTGTCTCCTTTTGGCCCCTTTTCTCCTCTTTCCCCCTGCAGGCCCTGAAAAGAAAACAACAAGAGAAAATAATATAGTTCAGAATGTGGCCCTCAGTACTACCATGGAGCAAACGGTGGGTGAGTCACTCATAGACACATGCAATGACTCATTGCATGATGAATACCATAGAAAGAGAAAAATTATTCAGGGCTCTGTCTATTAAATAGTATTTATAATTATTTCCAGCTCTGCATAGGTTCACTGGTATTAGAACATTCAATAACTGGCTGCACCACTGATATTTTGAGCTACTCCAAGGCTTGAACAGAATGAATCAAAAGTCTTAGTAAGCAGGATAATGAGGGTGAAGAAATACGAAGAACCTTCTTCAGTGAAAAATCTCCATCTCTGGCGGATAGAGATTGAAAGATTTCAACACACATAAATCATGAACCTTGAACAAATGAAGGGTGTGGAATGCTTTGCAGAGAAACTAATGTACGTACAATCAAATCAACAGGGCATAATCAATGTAGATCAACACAAACAACTGTAGTAGGAATTATAATTCATTATGCATATGGAATTGACAGTTATCTCAATTTGCCATATCACGTAAAGAATTGGTTGGTGTGCAACTCATTGCATAGAAGAACATATGCTTTTTTTAGCTTGGTACCTATACTGCAGCTATGCAGAACAATCTCAATGATGGCTGAATCACAGAATCATAGAATAATAATTCAGTTGGAAGGTGGAACAATCTCAATGATGGCTGAATCATAGAATCACAGAATCATAGAATATTAATTCAGTTGGAAGGGATCTAGAAGGCCATTGAATCCAACCCCCCTGCTCAAGGCTGGAATCCAAATCCAAGTAGATCTGACAGATGGTTTTCCAATTTTCTCTTGAATGCTTCCAGCATTGGAATACCCACCAGCTCTCAAGGTTTTTGGTTCCATTGCCCTACTGCTCTAACAGTTAGGAAGTTTTTTCCTGATATTCAGCCGAAATCTTGCTTCCTGTAGTGTAAGTTTTGGTTATTATGGTCAAAGCTGATTCATTTGACAGACAGGCTAAATCTTGGGCTGTATCACCATTGTTCATGGCTATGGACCATCAAAGTAAACAATGGTTAATAAAATGGCCTTAGTACATTTTACTGTCTCCATAAATATCTACTGTATTGTGGCCAGAATCTTGTTTGCGTAACACGTCACAGCTATTTGCAGCTAACTGATGAGATGCCAAGTTATGCCTCAGTTCTATGCCTGGTCATGTAGAACCTCGTCAATGAGCTGCAATTAACTGCAGCAAGTTACGGAAACCTTTCATAAATACCAATATGATTCTGGCTGGTAAAAGGATTGGGTCCAAGCTATCTTAAAAACCGTATCTCCCTTTATGAGCCTGCCAGGGTGCTAAGATAATCAGGGGAGACCATTCTCTTAGTCCCTCCTCTGTCCTATGTGCTGTCCCATGTTTGAGAATCAGGCATCAACATACCACTTGAGCAGATTACACACATTATGCAATACTTATAGGACAATAAGGAAAAGACCAAACCCCAACTTACGGGAGCTCCAACATAACCTTGACGCCCTGGGGGTCCTGGCTGGCCATCTGTCCCCTGGTCAATAATAATAATAATTAATAAATAAAGTAAAGAAAGATCAGTCTCAGAATGGAAAAATACTGGAGCTTATTTGCAAAAGAAAACAGTGTGCAACATTTCTTTGGAGCTTGGCCACGACAACCAACTCTTTTTGACAATCCAGTGAGCTGAGAGGTTCTTCCTGAAAGCAACTGCTTGGGTTTTTGAAACCAGCTAAAGAGGCAGGAGAGAGGAAACTGCTGGATAATGCGAGGATATCATAAGTATCTATCTGTTTTGTAGTCCCCTCTGAAGGAGAAGCTGCATAGTTTGGGGGTACTTCTAGATTCCTCATTGTCATTTGAAATGCATGCAATCTCAGCAGCATAGAGTGCCTGGGGTCACTTTCGACTGGTACGTCAAGGTCTGACCCTTCCTAGATGGGGATAACCTGGTCATGTGCTTGACATTTCCCGTTTAGGTTACTGCAATGCATTTTACATGAGGCTACCCCTCAAAATGAAACAGATGATGCAGCATCTAGATTGCTAACAGCAACATCCTTCAGGACCCACATGAGTCCTGAAGGATTTTCACTGGTTACCGATATGCTTCTGTCTGAGTTCAAGATGTTGACAATGACTTGTTGTTGTTGTTTAGTCATTAAGTCATGTCCAACTCTTCGTGATCCCATGGACCAGAGCATGCCAGGCCCTCCTCTCTATTGAAGCTGAGGCTCCAATCCTTTGGCCATCTCATGAGAAGAGAAGATTCACTGGAAAAGACTCTGATGTTGGGAAAGAGTGAAGGCAAGAGGAGAAGGAGACGACAGAGGACGAGATGGTTGGGCACTGTCACCGAAGCCACCAACATGAATTTGACCCAACTGTGGGAGGCAGTGGAAGACAGGAGGGCCTGGTGTGCTCTGGTCCATGGGGTCACAAAGAGTCAGACATGATTTAACGACTAAACAACAACAAAATGAAATTATCAACATGACTTTAATAGGTCCTAATTAGTGGGACATTTATGCACAACCTCTGTAGCTTTGATCATTTTATTTTTGATCAGTGCATAATCAGAAAAGCCAATCAAATAACGAACAACAAGAGTAAACAAAGTCACAGACAATGCTATAAACATTTTTATTAGGAAATAAAAGAAAGGAT